GAGACGACGGTCTCCACGCCGGTGCCGTTGATGAAGGCCCGCTTGATGGTCTGGGTGCGGACGTCGGACCAGTAGATGCGCTGCTCCGGGGCATCGTAGTCCACGGCCGTGACGTTGTCGATGTCGGGCACGGTGAAGGAGATGATGTAGTTGTAGTAGGGGTTGTCGATGTCCACGCCCCGGATCTCCATCTGCCGCGCATACAGCAGGAACTTCTTCAGCTCTGGGGCGCGAGAGACGGGATGAGGGGCGGAGGGATGACCGCAGCTGCCCATCGGAGATCCACGCCCCCTGCCATGCCCTGCCCGCAACCCATTCCCTCTGCCCAACCTGCCCCTGGCCCAACCTACAGCCCACTCCCCCTACCGCTGGTCCACTGCCCCACTTCCCCGGCCCAACCTACACCCCGGCCCAGCCTACACCCTCCTGCCCCTACCCCACCTGCCCTGGCCCACTCACCCTGCCCCGCCCCAGCCTATGCCCCACCAAAGAGAACTGGATAAATTCACGGTGGTTAAGTCCATTAATGGCTATTAGCCAGGACGGGTAAGGAATGGTGTCCCTAGCCTCTCTCTGTCAGAGGATGGAGATGGATGGCAGGAGAGAGATCACTTGATCATTGCCTGTTAGGTTCACTCCCTCTGGGGCACCTGGCATTGGCCACTGTCGGTAGACAGGATACTGGGCTAGATGGACCTTTGGTCTGACCCGGTACGGCCGTTCTTATGTTCCCCCTGCCCCACCCCTGGCCCAACCTACATCCTGGCCCAGGCCCAGCCTACAACCCGCTCCCCATACCGCTGGTCCCTGCCCCTTCCCCGCCCCAGCCCTACGCCCCACTTCCCCTGCCCAACCCGCCCCCGGCCCAGCCCGCGCCCCACTCCCCCTACCCCAGCCCACGCCCCGCTCGTCCTGCCCCGCCCCCGGCCCAACCCCGTGTCCCGCTGCCCCATAACCACTCCCCCACCACCAATCTCCCCCCGCCCTGACCCCCCTCACAACCACTCCCCACCTGCTCCTCCTGCCTGCCCACAACCTCATCGACCCCCCCTCCCCCCACCTCTGACCCCCCCCACAGATATTTCCCTCCCTCCCCCCACCATTCCCTGAGACGCTATGTGCCCCTTGCATCCTTTCACCAAAAGCTTGTCTGGAACCGCCAAGACAGTGAGGTCCACTGCTTAGAGCAGGGGGGGCTGGAAGCCAGGACTCCTGGGTTCTCTCCCCCTCCTCTGGGAAAGGAGTGGGGTGTGGTGGGTTGGAGCACAGGGGGCTGGAAGCCAGGACTCCTGGGTTCTATCCCCACCTCTGGGAGGAGAGTGGGGTGTGGTGGGTTGGAACAGGGGGGCTGGGAGCCAGGACGCCTGGGTTCTATCCCCACCTCTGGGAGGGGAGTGGGGTATGGTGGGTTGGAGAAGGGAGGCTGAGAGCCAGGACGCCTGGGTTCTATTCCTGATCCTACTGAGTGACCTTAGGCAAGGCTATTTCCTGCTCTGTATACGGGGTCACAGTGGGCCCCATGGGGGTGGGGGGGTGTGGCCAAGCACTCCCAGACGCTCCAAGGGGCCCCACCTACCGTAGCACGTGGTGTTATCCTTGTCCAGCTTCATGAGGTGGGGGCAGGCGCAGGAGGAGGACTGGTTGTAGTTGATCAAGCAGAGGTGGGAGCAGGGCCCTTTGCCCCCGTTGGCCTCGCAGGGGTTGGGAGCTGGGCCCAGGGGGAGAGCAGAGGGAAGTCAGTGAGGAGCCCCTCCAAGACGGGCCTGGTCCCTGCGCCCCGAGGGACGGGACAGGGATGCTGACGCCGGCTGGGATACCAGCCCATCCGCGCAGGGGCTGGGGGTGCAGCTCCCTCTCCTGATCCCATCAGAGTCAGTGCGGGGGCCCACGACGCAGAGCCCAGTGACTCCAGCTCCCTAGACCCACTGGGCCCCATTCTCCGGAGTCGCTCATGTCAACACGCTGGCAGCCAGTGCCAGTCAGGGGGTGTTCTCTGCACCAGCGGCATGATGGGGCCAGGGCAACAGACAGCCAGGCCCAGCAAAAGAGATGGGGTGTCGTGAGGGGCTTTGATCACGATTCTGCTGACCACAGCTGCAAGCCATGGGACTACAGCTCCCAGCCTGCAATGCTTCCTGCAGATTCATGCCAGAGGACTACAGCTCCCAGCATGCAATGCTTCTCACGGATGCAAACCATGGGACTACAGCTCCCAGCATGCAATGTTCCCCCAGGATGCAAGCTATGGGACTACAGCTCCCAGCCTGCAATGCTTCCCTCAGATTCATGCTACAGGACTATAGCTCCCAGCATGCAATGCTTCTCACGGATGCAAACCATGGGACCACAGCTCCCAGCATGCAATGTTCCCCCAGGATGCAAGCTATGGGACTACAGCTCCCAGCCTGCAATGCTTCCCTCAGATTCATGCCAGAGGACTACAGCTCCCAGCATGCAATGCTTCTCACGGATGCAAACCATGGGACCACAGCTCCCAGCATGCAATGTTCCCCCAGGATGCAAGCTATGAGACCACAGCTCCCAGCATGCAATGTCCCCCTGGAGGCAAACCATGGGACCACAGCTCCCAGCATGCAATGTTCCCCCAGGATGCAAGCCACAGGACTACAGCTCCCA